AAAAAATTTCTTAATAAAAATATTTTAAAAATCATTTATCACTTTTCAAGAATCAACTATAATTACGTACTATTTTATGATTAGCATCGAAAAATTGTTAAGAAGATTATATATTTATTAATTCAGTTTTGATACCAGTCATGTACAGTTTAGAATGTGGTATTTATTGCTGATGAAATTCTAATCAGTGGAAACGGTGATCATTTTCCTGAGTCTGAATATGAAGAGTATTATTATTGTAGCAAAATTTCATTTACTCAGAGTTGTTATTTGTATTGAGCGCATTAATTAACTAATTATTATGTGTGCGTTAATGATTTTGAGAGCATCTGATATTATTTTCTGATGAAATTTCAATAAGTTAAGAAATCGAATTTTAATATTGCATATATACATTTATCTTTATTTTAAGTTGCGTTATTCATGTAAATCCACGCGAAATCAATTGTTCTCATGGCTACTGTAAAATAGTTATCCAGAGCATGTGAGATTACAGATAAATAATGTTGAGTTGATCTATTTTAATTATAAACTGTTTGAAAACTATTGGTATGGAAGCATGTTCAAGGCCAATTAAATGCGTAGTCTGTGATTTTAAGCCACATTTCAAACGCTCGAAAGATACTGACAACCTAGTCTCAAACTGACTTATATATATGTATATAGGATCAGCACGACTTAACACGTTACTTCCCTTCATAGCCACACCTAGGAATATATATTCAAATTAATGTGGCGTTTGCTGCAGCAGTTAACCTATCATTTTTCTCGAAATCTTGGTAGGTGGAATGACGAGTACTTGAGCTTTCGTTGGTGGCAGAATCATACAGTGCTTTCAAGGACTCGTTCAGTGGCCGGTAGTTTCAAGTCGCAAGTTCCTGCTCGCGGGATCTTCAATCTCATTTCCGGCGATTATTTTGTTTCATAAAATTGACATTGAAGATGAGAACTTCGCATGTTGGATTACTCGTTAATAATCTCTACACTCACCACTAGTAAGCTTCGAAAATCGCAAATTTATTTCTAGCCTCAAGTTTACTACCAAAAAATTAAAAAAAATTACAAATAACAAATAACATATTCAATGAGGATATGAAACAAAAAAACATATTATGAGTTTAAAATAGTAATTTACATAGCTCTAATAGCTTGATATCTTGTTGAGACTAACACTTAGATTTGATTTTGCTGACGTGGAGTATCACCAATAAGCATAAATTAATTTAATGTTCACGGTACATGCATGAAGTTCGGTGACCCGCTGGAAATAGCAGCTATCAATAAGGTTCTAGGGCAAAATCGTTCTAAAGATAACTCTTTATTGATAGGATCAGTAAAGTCAAATCTTGGATATATCGAAATGGTTTCTCTGGCTAAAGTAATTATAAAACAGTTTGAAATAAAGGCATGAAAAGCATAATAATTTATTTCGTTTATCAAAAGTGATATTAGCTATGGAGGCAGGAGTTATTCCTCCAAATCTGCACTTCAAAGAATGTAAGCAAGATTTTAAAGCTATTCTGGAAGGTTGTTTGAAAGTCCTTATAGCATTTACCATCTATAAAGATGAATGTGTTGTTGTTAATGACTTTGGATTTGGTGACGCGAACGTCCATACTTTGTTAAGAATGAATTTTAAAGAAAAGATTAATTAATAATGGTCCTCCACATGATAATCTTCCAAGATTAGTGGTTGTTTCTGATTGAACAAAGGATACAGTTACTACCATGCTTACAGATTTAAGACTATTTCCACCATTTGTTGTTTTTCTATATCTTCTAAGCAATCAAAATGCTTGACATCTTGAGAACAAACTCGTTGACGTGTAACATTTATATAAAATTTGTTATTATATAAAATAACTCGATTATATAAAACTTGTTCGAACGAGGTAAATGGATATCTTTATCGAGGCTATATCATCCTTCCGTCTCATGAAATTGTAAAATCATATAACAAAGAAATTCATTCTAGAACAGAATCAAAAGACCTGTTTGATTTGTTTTTCCAGGCATGGATTCGTAATGGTCTGAAATGGGTAAGATGTGAAACGAAAAAATTATGTCAAAGAATATAGATGAATATGAAATATGATATTAATATTTTTCGTCTCATAACAGATTTTTATTAGTCCATTAACGATAATGTTTTGAATTACTTATTGCGATCGTATCTGTACAAGTAAACTTTATGTAAATAACAATACTTGGCAACTTTGGTTTTGAACTATATATGTCTTAAATTACTGAATGAATACTAATATGTATTTATAAATGTATTTACGGGAGATTAGCTTGTTTTGCCAGGTGCTAAAATTATTGTTAAGTTATATCGTTCAGGATTTAGAAATGAATACCGAAGAAAACGAGTACATTTATGGCAAAAATGCATCAATGTATGGAAATTGTGAATCCATTGCAGATACAGCAATTAAAATTGCTCCGGTTAATGAAATGTTAAATTTAGCGGTTATTTTAAAAGATGCTTTATAGGAAAATTAACTTTCTAAGAACTTTTAAGAATCCTTTATACCAAAAGCTTGAGTATAAAAGAATTTGGATTTAATAAGTAGAAAATAATGTTCTGAACTTCGATATTTTATTGTATTTTCTACTGTCGCGTGTGCAATCCTAAACAGTTGAATTATGGAATGTCGAATTCGGTAAGCCTTGCATTAATTATATAAAGCAAAATTGTTATAAAAAGAAATTTTCCAAAAACAATTTTTAGGTATGGAATGAATTTACGAATAACAATCTATTGATGGATTGCCTGCTTTGGCAGTGCAAGTGACGTCGGAGTAGTAGCTGATATGCAAGAATTTTGTAAAGAAGTCATTAACAATGGAACAGTTCCGTAAAGTATTTCCTCTTGCTTGGAATAACTCGATACATTTTTGTTATAAAATCGTCCCGTGATTTCACCTATGGTTATTGCTGAAAATAAAGTCACTGGTGCTTCATTTATTATTTTAGACACAGATTTCAATATCATGTGTAAATTGAATGAATTCATAAAATGAAAATCATTATATTATACATTTTGTTTAACTACTAAGATAATATACTGCTTGATTGCAGGTTTCAAAGACACGAAAGATAAAAATCTCCACGCATCTCATCCTGAATTGGGTATGGATTCCATAATGGCTGTAGATATTAGGCAGATGCTTTAGGGCGAATTTGATGTACTTCTTAGTGCTCAAGATATCCATAATTTACTTTAGCCAAACTTAAGAAGATGTCAGACGCAAAAAATTCTGATGAAATGAAAAAGAAGGACGCTACAACATCAGAAGAAGAGATAAACCAATTATGCTAAATATGTTTTATAGATTTTTTGTTTATTACATATTGATTTTATATAAAAAATAGAAGTATCATATCATTACCACTAACTTTATAACAATGTATTACAAAAAATTAAGAGTAAATAATTCCAAAATATGAAACATTCTAAACTTTGTTGAAACGATCATTCATAGATTATACGAAATATCAGATTGGCGAATATAATGCCAGTCATCGTTTCCAGCGTAAATTCAAGTTGTACAGCTGATTTGAATTATAAATGATGAAAGCTTCTTACTTAAATTTTGATATTCGGTAAGAACGATTTTAGTTGTGAAACATGCGGCTTTGGTTGGAGTCACAAAATTTGAAAGAAGACGTGATTGGTTTTATAATTTGTGCAAATTGAGCAGCAAAGTATCATCATTATCGATATTAGCCGATAATAAATTTGTGATAAGTAGAGTCTCGGATTGTTTTTCCGAATGTACGTATTCTGTGATAATCTCATATAAAGGCGTGTCATGATTGTACATATAGTATGAAAATCTTAGGTGCATAATTAACGATCAAACAATCATGTTCAATAAGGACGAATTCATTTGTACGATGAGAGTAATAATAAATATGTCTTTAACACAATGAACTAAATAATATATTGAGAGATAATTAAGTAATTCAATTATCGACTTCATTCGCATTCCCAATTATAAAGTTGATAAATTAAGGCTGAAAATAATTTACTGTGCCGAAGAATTATATCTAATAGTGACCCTATAACTCCGATCTCCATTTTTACTATTTCTTTTTCTCTCCTTCTTACCCTGATCCTGTGAGCGTAGCCCGAGGATTTTATAGATGTATATACATATATTTCTCCGTTTGGCGCGCAGCGGCTGCTTAGCCCGAGGGAACGCGTTGCGAAAGCGCCTAGCTGCACCTCTGCTGGCATGCCTCCGTTGTCAATTTCAGAAACAAAATTTGAACTTGCTTGAGAATTCTATTTATACTATAAGTCTGATTAGTGGATGGGAGCCAATTGCTTGCCAAGTAGCACCTAAATTATCTGATACTTGTTTCTAGTTGTTGTTTGTAATTTTTTTGTTCATTTAACAATGACTGGTTGGGAGCTTATCGTAGTAATTACCGAAGTTGCAATAGTTGCGAATTATGCTTTCTTGACATGCAAGTTAAAATCGATAAGGATATGACTTTGGTGCGAAAATACTAACATTATATTAATAGCATACATACGATATTGATGAAGAAAAATTCAATGTAATAAAAAATGTTTGTACATTAAGGAAACAATTCGCAAATTTCTTCTACTTTCACACAAATATCTAAGTAGATCGCTTTTTTCACTTTTCGCTAGAGTGAAATTTCTTATTGAAAGCCAAGAGTTCAAAATTCTTTTTCTTTATAATAATCAAATTGTAGGAAAACCGAGAGCAATATCAGTAAGAGGGTTCAGAGCAGAATAGCTATCAATTTTTTTTGTGAACTGACGCATTTTTTTAAAGTTATGGAGAGTAGTTTCCAGAATTAGGAAAAATTTTAAATCTTAACCGAAAGTTTGCTTCGTCTAAAAACAATAGACGGAAATCCATTTATTTCCTTGACAAAAGTTATATCAAGAACCGAGGCGCTGACATATAACCTGCAATCACTTTGGAATTGAAAATTTAATTGAAAAGAAATGCACTGACCGTTTGTGACACGTGGGTTCCAGGTTGACGGCCGTGTTGTCGTCGTCGTTGTTATCGCTGGATATCGGAGGCACTCACGCGCACTCAACGGCATGCAGAGCTCCACGAGGACGAGGGTATTCACTAATTCGCGTTACAGGTGGATGTTTAACAACTCTGTTTTTCCCTTTATCAAAAGCGTATGAAAACTGTTATATTGAAAGAACTGGTTTTTTTTCGCTGTCCGGATATTCGCGCCGTGTACGTCGCACGATGGCTCGATCACTACTACGCTCTCGACGATGTTGCTGCGAGCGCAGCGCCGTCGTCGCGCGCGCACACACATTCAACCTGCACAAGGGGAGGTGCAAAAAAAGGGTGGGAGGTGATCCCGCCAAGCGCCGCTCTCTCCCTTTCTCTACATCCACGTGCTACTGTGCATTTTTTTAACGCTTGGTTAAGTTTGAAGGGAGGCTTACAGCGATAAGTTTTCTCAGGCTTTTCCTTGAGTTTTGATCTTTTTTCAGTTTCACTTAGGTAGTACGGTGATTTGCTTCAATAGGGTTACTGAAATAAGAAAGCAGTATAGCTAATACGGTAGATGAGTATGGCTTTTTATATTTTCAGTAAGAATGAAGATTCATTCGAGATGAATTAATTTACTTTACAGTCATTAAAATTATTATATTGAGCTTTGTATTTGGCAGCGACTGCATTTATTGTCAATGCAACTGAAAACTATGAAAAGAACTATGGTTAAAAAGTTTTTAATTTTATCTATATTTTTGTCCCAGTGGAACAAAAACCGTTAAGAGTAGTACTGCAAAGGCATACATTACTAATTAAAAATATCGGATTTCGTCATTTCCATTGAATTTCCAGCTACGCAGGTAAAATGGCTTGAGGCGTTTTTGAAAAATGAGTTTCTAGAACGCTTTCGGCATTGAACTGAAAGTGTTGTCGCAGAGCTTCAGGTTTTGGAATACTCGGTTCAATTATGTACAAGATAGCCAAACCTTGCTATCCGAGAATATAACACAAATATATATTGCATTTAACGTGGAAAATATGTCAATATCATTATGGAAATACATATGGCACCGGTATAAATATTCGAAAAATACAGTCTCGGGCCAAACAGTTGATTTTCCTTTTCCGCGCGAGTTAAGTACGTATATAGTAAAATATGATATTTTACGCGAAAAGAGAGAGCCTGAGATATCGCAAAATCCAAGAAATATTATTTAAAAAACGGTCTGGCTGCCGTGACTGCGTATCCCCAAGCGCTGCAGCTAACGAGCAAAGGCCGAGGGCTTTGGAGGGCCTCTCTCTCGCGCGCGCGCGTACTCTCTCTCTCTCTCTCTCTCTCTCTCTCTCTCTCTCTCTCTCTCTCTCTCTCTCTCTCTCTCTCTCTCTCTCTCTCTCTCTCTCGTCCTCCGCGCTGTTCTCGTTGTGGCCCGCGGCGACGCTGTGCGCGAGAGTCGAGCAGAGCGTGGTGCGGTGCGGCGCAGTGGCTTTGAAAACGCCCGAGGCCACATTCGAACGACGTTGTTGGCCGTGGCCGCCCGACTTTGCCTTCCAGGCACGATGTGGGCTTCTTTTTTTTTTTCTTTCTTTTTTGTCGATTTCTGGCGTTGCGATGCGCCCAGATATGAGACCGCCCCTGGCGGGAATTCGTTGTTGCTCTATTCGCGTATGTTTTTGAAATATATGTGTATATAATATGTATACACATATATGGACATACACATACACACACATATATACACTCAGATGAGTAGGCTTTAACTGGAAATGCTATTTGTCGGGACGGGATAACAGGTTTTTTATTATACTTATATATATGTGTGTGTGTGTGTGTGTGTGTGTGTGTGTGTGTGTGTGTGGGTGTGGGTGTGGGTGTGTATGTGCATGTATATGTATGTGTGTATATGTATACATACATACATACATACTACATATGACACGGAAAAAAGCTTTTAAAATTTTATATGAATTATTGACATTTATATTTTTTTATGATAAATAAAAATTTACAATTAATTATTTCTAATTGAAGTCAGTCATTAGTTTACACGAGCACGTGAATTCAGTTGCTGGAAGGTTGATAGATATTCCAACAGACTTACGACTGCATGTATATTGTCATTGACAATATACTTCACCATAATAGCCACATGGTTGAGTAAATGCTGTTGATAAAAAGCGTTATATTCTCATGAATTTGAAAGAAATTAAGGTTTTATACAAAAGTTAGTAGAATAAAAGGATACCTTCAAGAGGTCTTTGTTATATATATATCTTCTATATATACATTACAATTGTAAGAAAATAATAGTATCGCAAGTTCCAAAAACATGAGTAAAAATTTGATTTTTCAACGCGTTATTTTACTCTAATATTTCGATTAATAAATCAAATTATAAAGTTTTTCGATAGAGGATTGAAGTGTTTAACAACACTACTTTCATCCCCAACCGATCTACTAAAATAATTTGCTAGTCTGCGTTACTACGAAGTTACTACGAACTAAAATAATTTGCTAGACTATGAAGGTAAAAGATCTCAATAACCTCGTGATTAAAAAGAGTCAAATAATTTTTGTACAACTCTTATGAATTTATGAAAGAGTAAGAAAAGTGAATATTAGTAGACACAATTCTCATTCTCGAAGCGCCGTGCTAAAATTTTTAAGTACCATCAACACTATCTGGGAGAGGCCAGAATAGTACCGTGACAATAAAATAGAAAATTTTCTATGCTTTGGTTACTTATTGAAGGAAGATTGACTCAAGCTACTTTTGTCTCAAAAAAATACAAGATTCAACGTTTAATCACTGAGGGCAACAGACACGTTTCCATTACGCTCTACTCGTAATGGTAAAGAAGTAGCTAATCAAGTGAAGTAACTGATATTTACATATAATCAAGTTAATATAAATTTATCTTTTAATAATATAATAAAAACAAAGTAATTGCCAAAATGACCACTCAAACAGGGCACATAATATCTACCTCTACTCAAAACAACACCGAAGCGTGGAAAACTGTAAACAGTAAAAGACAACGAATTAGTCCAAACAATCAAATACCAAATAAGAAACGGCAAGCCTAGTTATCAGATTACTTTAGTTAATTCACCAACAAGTACTAGGTTTTTTGTGATAATCAAAATGACGAAATGAATACAGCCAACAAAGAAATCAACACATTAAAAAATAAATCTTCAATCCTTGTATGTAACATAGAAAATATTCGCTCGTTAGAAAATCTGTTAAAGGCAATAGCAAAAGACAGTTAGACACTTAAAGTGGTGGGGCAGAATAAAATAAAAATACAGTTGATAATGGCAGAAAAATATCTACCAACAGTCACTGTATTAAAAGGAAAAAAACACTCAATTTTATACGTATTAACGTAAAGAAGATAAGGGATTAAAAGTGGTATTGAGAAGTTTGCACTCATCAGTGGATATAAATGATTGAAAATCTGCCATAGAGGAACATGAACACATAGTAATAAGAATTCATAATATTCAGCATTGTGTGACAAAGATATCATTATCTCTATTTTTCGTAGAAGTGGAACACGATTAAAATAGCTAAAACATATATAAAGTAAACAGGTCATTGAATTCTGCAATTAAATTTTTACCATCACTTTTTGAAAGAGGCCCATCCTAATATCACAACTGTCAAAAATTCGAGCATACTAAAAATTATTGCAATAAAGACTTTCCAGTTAAAGAAAACATTAAAGATGTCAAGCGCGCAGCTTACGGAGCAAACCACAGCGCAAATTACAAAGGATATTGAGTTCGCAAACAACTGCAACAAAAATTATTTCCCAGATTAAGAGAGAAACAAAACTTTACCTCCAAGCAACTAATGTTATAATAAACGATAACAGAAGGCCGATAACAGTATCAGCTGTTTGCAAACTGCCCTCCGTACAAAACAATAACAAAAGAAACCTGGACAGACTTCCTCCAAACACTAGGAAATCGGTTTATAACAAGAGGTAATTATAATGTGAAGGATCCGTGGTGGGGATCAATATCAACAATCAATATCAACAACTCCAACATTCAGAGGCAGAGTACTATATAACATATTATAACAAAATAACTGCATTCCAAATCCACTGGAGAATTAACATATTGGCCAAAAGATATAAACAAACTACTCGATCTAATTAACTTTGTAATCGTAAGAGATATGAACAAAAATATTTTGAAGTATCATCATGCCTTGACCTAACATTAAACCATTCACCAGTATTAAGTACTCTATACTCTCAAGTACTCAAAACTGTAAACAATTATGTAAAAGTTGATTAGAAAAAATATTCTCTTTCCATTGAGGAACACATAACATGTGACGTTCCTCTCAAATCAACTATTAATATATAAAACAGTACTCAAACACTCAACTTACTTTTAACCAAAGCCATCAACAAATGCTCTAATACTATAGATAATGAAAACCACAGCAAATTATATCCAATAAAATAGCTCCAAAAATTAAAGAAAAGAGATTACTTAGGAAAAGATACCAGACAACCAGATCTAGTCAAGATAAAACTAAATTAAACGGAGTATCCAAAACCTTAAAAAAATATTGTACGAGGAAAAGAACAGACAAAGAAGAATAATCTTAGAACATTGAGTCCAACAGAAGCAATGGATTATTTACAATAGAAAGCGACTAAACGACTTAAAAGACCAACTACACATGCATCTTACCTATTAGAAAACTTTGCGGTAAATGGGCCATATCAGACGGTGAAAAAAATTATATTTGCTAACCACCTGATGACAGTTTTAAAATCTCACAGAAGAATAATCATTGCACAAGAGAAAGAAATCTTTCTAGAAGATTTTGATGACCAAGAAAGCACACAAATTATATCGATTAAAATAAAGGAAGTAGAATACGTAGAGATTTATGTATCTTTAATTAATTAAATATATTGCAAAAGAAATTAACTGAAAATGTATCCATCTGTACATTTGAAAACGGATAGTGTTTCTGGATAATTATAAACCGATCTTCTTGCGTTGTCGTATCTACAAAACGAATATAGCAACATGATCTCGTCAGCTTCCAGAGGAGATCGTAGGACGAAGAGAAGGGATATCACCCCTTTTACTAACAAAAGGTTTTGCGGACCGGGGTCCAAGCACTATCCGGCAAAACTCACAGAACGATCTCTTCTTCATTTCGGAAAGGCTTTCCTTAATTTCCAATTTTGATTTTTATATT